CTAGCGAGGTTCAAATTACCTGGGACCATGTGATCAGCTTCCAGGCCAAGATGCAAATAATTGGGGCGGATGATCCAATGATTTGCCGGGCATTCCTCCCAACTCTGGTTGGACCCGCCCAGGCTCCCCCAGGATCAATCAACAGTTTTGAAGAATTGGCCAGCTGGTTCTTGACGCACTTCGCGGGAAACATGAAACTCAAAAAGTATATCTCATACCTATCCCGAGTGCATCAGGACGAAGGAGAAAGTTTGCGCAAAAATAGCGTCTGGGAAAAGGAGGCCCAGGCAGTCAAGGGCCTCGAGGACAAGACTGCCTTGATGTTCTTCATTGAGTCCCCCCGGGCAGACGGACATTACAACAAGTTAAGGGATGAGAATCCTAAGACATACACCGAGCCATCTAGAGGGCTAACCAGTTGGCAGATACGGAGGAAGCGGTCAAACAAAAGCGCAAATAGGAGATTTCCTCCAATAAGCGACTCTGCGCAGACAACCCCCGAGACGGACGAACGGAGGACGAGGGGGGTACACGTGCGAGAGCTCATCGGGAGCTCCTACCTATTGGCCGACGGCACAGCCCATCTACGAGGCCCGTACCCAGTTAGCCCCACCTCCACCCGCCCGACCTAGAGATAACCTGTAAGTCGTGGGAGCAAGTGCGACCCCTATTGGAGGTATCACCGCACAAACACCCACACCACAGAAGAGTGCGAAGGCCTTAAGGAGGGGATCGAGGCACTCATAAAGCGCGGTCGGCCAGCACCTCCCAATCAATGGCGCTACCTGGGCCTACCCAGGCAGAAGGAAGCGTCATCTTGACCTATTGCAAGGGCGATGGATAAAGGCAAGCAGCCCATTTCAAGAAGAGGACCCCGACACGAACTGGAAATATAAGCCGGTCATCAACATGATCGTCGGCGGCCACGAAGGCGGCGATACGGCGAGAGCCCGGAAGGCTTGGGCTAGGCAACTATACATAGGGTCGATAGCGTTCTAAGAGTCGAATCGAAAGAAAGCTTGCAGAGAGCCAATCATCTTCACAGATGATAACCTGTCTAGGGGCCCGACTCCTCATCGTGACACCCTAGTCATCGCAATGGACATCTAGGGGGTGGTCATTCGTCAGGTACTTGTAGACACTAGAGGTAACGTTAATGTGTTGTACCTAGAAGCGTACAAAAAGTTGGGATTACCCCTGGAGCGATAGTAGTTGGTTAAGATCCCCATAGTCGGATTCACCGGTGATGCAATTGACACAGAGGGTTGAACTTCCTTAATAATGGAGATGGGCATTTGGCCCTGGAAAGTTGGAAATGGAGTTTGTAGTGGTCGCCTTGGAATGTGCGCACAACATCATACTCGACCAACCAAGTTTGGAGGATTTGGGCGCCTTAATTTCCATCGAGTACCTTTGCATGAAATTTCGCACATCGACCGACATCGAAGTTGTGCGGTGCGACAAGAAGATGGCCCGAAGTTGTTACCTACAAGCTTGTCGGAAGGTTGGATAGGATTCTCACTAGGTTAATACGATTGCCCACCTACTGGCCGAGCGGCCTATAGAGGGCCCAACCCCCGCCGTCGAACTAGAGGAGGTCACGTTGGAACCCGACCACCCGGAGAGAAAGGTTCGGATTGGAGAAGGATTGCCTGAACCTGTAAAGCAAGCTGTCACCGACGTACTAAGAAGTTATAAGGAGATATTTGCTTGGAGGTCCGAGGATATGCTAGGGCTTGACAGGTCGATCATAACACACAGATTGGCGGTCGATCCCGGCCTTAAGCTTGTAGCGTAGAAGAGGAGATACTTATCAAATAACCGGAGAGATTTTGTAAAGCATGAGGTAGACACCCTGCTAGCCGATGGGCACGTTCAAGAAGTCAAATACCCCGGCTGGTTGGCCAACGTAGTGTTGGTGCCCAAGCCGCCGACGTGGAGGATGTGTGTGGATTACACCGACCTCAACAAGGCGTGCCCTAAAGACCCCTTTCCCTTACCTCAGATCGACCAATTGGTCGACGACACGGCTGGGTGTGCCCTGCTTAGTTTTATGGACGCCTTCCGGGGGTACCACCAAATATTCATGCACGAGTCGGATGAAGAAAAGACTGCCTTCGTAATTCCTAACGGGGTATACTGCTACAAGGTGATGCCGTACGGCCTCAAGAATGCTGGAGCTACTTACACCAAAATTGTGACAACCCAAATTTTAATTTTATAAATCTCGTTCTAAAGAAATTCAAAATAGCCAATTTTCATTCCTACAAAATTTTTGCAACGAGAACGGTGTTTGAATAAATTATTTTAAGTGACTTTTTAAACAAATTCAACACTGAGAAGTTTTAATTCCAAAATCCTAAATTTTCGGGTACTTCGCGTACCAAGTTTTGAATTGAGAAACCTATCTGAGTGAAACCGGGAGAAAACCGATAAGCCTAAATTAAGTGTTTATCTAGAAAACATTTTTGGGAAAATTCCTTTTCTGCCCCAAACTACTTTAAATATCAATTCTAGCGTTGGTTCATGAAGCATGGCGGACCACAAGCCATCCAAAAACCTTTGTCTGATTCCATCTTTTAGCCAAGTCATTTTACCTTTTTGTCATCCACCAATCATGGGAGATTCTCCTAGGGTTTTGAACTCATATAAAAGGAATAGTAGACTCTTTCATCCTCTCCTGATTCCATTCTTGGCTTCCTAACCTTGAGCTCTGCAAAACAAAGAAGAATCATAATAAGGTTTCTAACATCCTTTTCCATCCATTCATCTTTCTCCCTTCTAATCTTACTCCTTCTAGCTTCTTTCTCTAAGAACTTAGTAGTAAGTTGTTGTATGGTTTGTTTGAGATGTTTAAGAGGTGAAGGAGGGTGTAGCTAGCTTGAGAGGAAGGTGGAATCCTAGCCAAGAGAAGAAATCTGCAAAGGTATAACCCATGGGCTCCCAAAGCTATTTTCTTAGACTCTGTGAAGTCTATTTTGTGGTAGAAATGAGTAGAAATTCTAGATTATTGGGGTGTTTGAGCTATTAAGTGATCTATTGTTAATCTATGATATGTTGTTGAGGTTTTAGAAGTGTTGGATTGTCTGAAATAATTTCTACAAGTGGAAGAAGATCATCTGGTGCACAAGATAGTGTGCACCAGATTGTTCACAGCCCTAGGAGGGAGCCGTTGGCTAGCCCCTTGAAAGGGCGGCCTTAGGGAACGGCCCTTGGAGAGGACCGTTGCCCTGAGACGTGAGAAAGCGGAGCCAGGAGGCGGAACACATCAAGTTTCGCCGAGTGCTCCGCCAAGCTTCAGTTTTGCAGTGGCTGGGCCCTTGTGGCTCAGCTACATGTCGTTTCGGACCGAGGCTCACGGGCCCTTGTGGCTCGGACACTCGGGACCGTCATGACGCATGTTTAGACTTTGATTTCATCGAATTTGGAGTAGAAATGAGCTATTTGTGTTAGATTTTATGAAGAAATATGTCACAGAAGTTGTTTGAGTGCATTTACAGTAAATGGAAATGAGAAGCATCAGACTTAGTTTATTTGTTTGAAGAACATGTTATTATTTGTTTTCTAAATTGAGAAGCATGAACTCTATTGTTAAGTTTTGCTAGAAAAACATGCCTAAAGTGTCCATTATGACTTATTGAGAATCTTGCCAAGTTTATTAAATGTTGAAGTGTATAGAGCATGTTTTCCTTGAATGCTAGATTACAGTAAATGAGATTACATCGAGTATTTTGAGTTCAAGTGCATGTTGAATACTTGCTAAGTGTTTGTCAAAGAAGATTTGCTAAGTTATGATTTACAAGCATTCTTTTTACAAATGAGCGTATATGTATATCTATCTATACTTATACTAAAGCATCATGTTCATTTTATAGCATGATTAAGTTAAGTGCACGAGATTGCTTATGAGTTGTATGCTTGCACAAGATTGCATGATTAGCAGTTGATAGCATGAGATTGCTTATGATTTATATGCTTGCATGAGATTGCATGATTAGTAGTTGATAGCATGAGATTGCTTATGAGTTATATGCTTGCACGAGATTGCATGATTAGTAGTTGATAGCATGAGATTTCTTATGAGTTATTTGCTTGCACGAGATTGCATGATTAGTAGTTGATAACATGAGATTGCTTATGAGTTATATGCTTGCATGAGATTGCATGATTAGTAATTGATAGCATGAGATTGCTTATGAGTTATATGCTTGCACGAGATAGCATGATTAGTAGTTGATAACATAAGATTGCTTACGAGTTATATGCTTGCACGATATTGCATGATTAGTAGTTGATAGCATGAGATTGCTTATGAGTTATATACTTGCACGAGATTGCATGATTAGTAGTTGATAGCATGAGATTGCTTAGAGATTATATGATTGCATGAGATTGCATGATGAGTATATGATAACATGAGATTGATTTGAGATTATATGATAGCATACGATCGCTTACTGAGTTATGTGTTAGCATGAGATTACTTACTGAGATATATGATGTTATGAGTTTGTTGATAAGTTAAATATTTGTGAAAGCATGCCTATTTGAATAATTAGGTTGCAAGTATACAGAAACCCTGATGAGCATGTTAATATGTTACTTAAGTGTTTGAGAATACTTGATTTAAGTATGAGAAAACTGTTTTCCAAAAGTATATACTGTAGTACTTTACAGGGTTGAGTGGCGTTATACTTAGTCTCGTGAGAAAATTACACTTTTGGTCCTATGACTATAGGGGAAGTGGTAATTTCAGTTCGTGACTTTTAAAACTAACAGATTTAGTCCTTTTAGTACGCTTTTTTTTACACATTAAGTCCTTCCGGCCAAATCACCGGTGGATTTTGGCCGGAAAAACACAATCCCTTCGTTTATTAAATATTTGGGGGGTAAAATGGTCATTTCAGATTCTTCTTTCTTCTTCATTCTCCTTCGTTCTTCTTCTCCGATCTCCCGGCCGGCCCATCCTCCATAATCTCCGATCGCCGTTCTTCAACCCCTCATCTCCCACGACAACATGCTTTCTGGATAACCATAATCACCAGAGAAACAAGAACTCTGGTCGACACCGCCGCCAATGTGATCTTCAACCATCCCTGCATCTCTCCGGTCACCTTCTTCAACACCTGCGAGATAAATCTTCTTCAAATAAGTGAGCACTTATTCGTGAAAAAAATGATTTGCTGATATCTCCAGTTCTGAGAGTGCACTTCAGCCAGGCCTTTTCCATCTCTTAGAACATCAGATGATTGCCCCTGTAAAAAATACAGAAAAACCAAAGGTACAACTTTACTTTTATGCCAAGAATTTGGTCAAAATAAACTACATATGCTATACACACAGCATAACTTCAAAAAGATTCTTTGGAACCTGAATCAAAAACTTTGAGTGTCCAAAGTGGGCATTCTGTGGGGCCATTGCCTGTGTATGGATAGGCTTTTGCAATCCATATGGAGGATCTACATCTTCATCCAAATTTCCCATAGGATGATACTGAAATTTGCGAGCAGAATTTTTCTTACCAACTTGATTAGACTTTTCCTTTCCAATAGCAACAGCCCTTGAATCAGTTGGATCTAACATAACATTTTCCCTCAAACTTCCGGCAGAATTTTGGTGTGATGCATTGGACCGGTAGCTGTCATTTGAGTTCTCCTGTTTGTCACAGGTATCTATCTCATTACTTTTAGCTGTCGTTGAGGTTTCTGTCCCGGCTCCGCCGGCAGTGGATGATGTCGTTGAGGTTTCTGTATGTTCATCAAGAAGGAAGAAGAAGAACGAAGAAGTAGGAAGGAGAAGGAAGAAGAAAGTAGAATCTGAATTGACCATTTTACCCCCCAAATATTTAATAAATTAAGGGATTGTGTTTTTCCGGCCAAAATCCACCGGTGATTTGGCTGGAAGGACTTAATGTGTAAAAAAAAACGTACTAAAAGGACTAAATCTGTTAGTTTTAAAAGTCACGAACTGAAATTACCACCTCCCCTATAGTCATAGGACCAAAAGTGTAATTTTCTCTTAGCCTCGTGCTAACGGGTTTGTTTTCTACTTGTTGTTTGTTAACCCCTTTCAGGTGGACCCAGTTCATGAGAGAGTACGAGTTAGACTCGATTAGCATAGATAGCTAGTTGTAGTCTAAACTCTTGATGTTATTACTTTTTGAGATTTGTAGTTGACTACCCGTGTTTTGATGGTGCTGGACACCCGGGACTCATCCCCTAGTTTGATAGATGTTAGTAGACTTTAATGTTTAGTTTGATTTATCTTTAGCCTGTGCAATCACCGCGAAGGGTGATAGTGGCGGTGACACCTCTATTAAGTTACATAATAAAGTTCATTCCGCTGCTTTTGATTATCTTTAAAGGTTTAGTCTGTTAATTAAGTTTAAGAAAAGTGGGGTGTTACAAAAATGGTTGCCCGACTATTCAAAGACTTGATCGGTAAATCCATGGCTGCCTATGTCGATGATATGCTAGTCAAAAGCAAGGAAGAAAATGACCTTGCTAAGGACCTGACTGACTGCTTCGAGGTCATGAGAAGGTTCAACTTGAGGCTGAATCCTAAGAAGTGTGCGTTCGTGGTCAAATGGGGGAAAATCTTGGGTTATATGGTTACCCGACGAGGAATTGAGCCGAACCAAGAAAAGGTACAAGCCATCCTAGATATGCAGCCTCCCAATAACCTCAAAGAAATGCAGCGCCTGAATGGCCAGATGGCCGCTCTCAGCCGCTTCTTGTCTAAGTCTGCCGACTGGGCCATGCCTTTCTTCGAAGCCATGAAAAAGCAAGAAGGTTTCCGATGGACTGGGAATGCCAAGCTACCTTCGAGGATTTGAAAAGGTACCTCTTAACCCCACCTCTATTATCTAAGCCCAAAGAGGGCGAAGTCTTGTTACTGTATTTGGCCGCCTCTCAGAAGGTAGTCAGGTCTGTATTGGTATGTGAAGATGACAAGGTTCAGCTCCCTGTATACTATGTGGGGCGGACGCTAAAGGGCGTGGAGATCAATTACTCTCCCTTGGAGAAAGTTACTTTCGCCCTGGTTACCACTGTCAGGAAGTTGGTACCCTACTTTCAGGCCCATCAAGTCAGGGTGTTAACTGATTTACCGCTATCTAGCGTGCTGCGCTGTCCATCCTCATCTGGATGACTACTAAAATGGGCGATGGAGCTCACCCAATATGGGATTGAGTACACTCCCCGGCCATCCATCAAGGCCCAGGCACTAATTGACTTCATCGTAGAATGCTGCGCGCACCCAGAAGTTACCCCATCGACCAAGGAGCTGTAGGAGGCCGAATGGTGGGAGATGCATATTGACAGTGCGGCCAGCACCCGACATTGTGGAGGCGGAGTAATGATAACGACCCCTAAAGGTTTCTATCAGTATTATGCACTACAGTATCAATTTCAAACCTCAAATAATGAGGCGATCATTAGGGGACTGCGCATCGTCTTGGCACTTAAGGCCGCTGATGTTATCACATCTGTAATTGTTTTTATAATTATTTTGAATCATCTCGGTAATTAAGTTCTTTAATTTTGCTTATTTAATACATGTTTTCCTTGTTGTTATCATTTAATTATGGTTCACACTTGTTTTGAATGTTTTACGGTGTTTGTTAGTGTTTTTGAACCATTGTAGGTCAAAGTTATGAGCAAGGGAAGTTCGATGACAAATTTGGAGTCAAAATGGACCGAAAGGCGCGTACATAGCATTTTTGACGCGTCGAGCCAAAGGCTTGACGCGTCCAAAATTCCCAGAAGGATATTGCGGTCGAGAAAGACGCGAACGGATTTCATCAAATTAAGAAAGGTGCGACATGCATTCTCAACATAATTAAGGCGTTGACTTCACTTTCCAAATGCATTCAAATTCCAATTCATACTTCAATTCCAAATTCAAATTCCAATTCCAACTTCAAATTAAATTAAATATGGCAACTTCTAAAATTAAATAGGAATATTCCTAATTTCTCAATGGTTGATCCCAACTTTGTACCTATTATAAAATCCCACCTTCCTCAACCCTACTGAGAATTAAGTGGTAGTTTAGAGTAAATAATTAGAATAGATAATTTACAATTCATAGTTTAGAATTCAGAGATTCTTTGGAGACAAGAAAGAGAGAAATCAAGAGCCACAAGTTGTCTTGGGAAGCAAGAAGTAAGACTAGGGAGATTTGAGAAAATCGTCTGGTTTTTTTTTTTTTTTTTGAAGGTTAATCTTGCGATTGTATTAATGAATCAAAGATGAAATAGCGTCAGGTGGGATAGCATCCCAGTACATATCTTGATTCTGAGTAAATGCTAATGTAGCTAAAGTATGCGCATGTAAATTAATCTGCCTAGAGATGTAATCCAAAGTAATACGATTAAATAATAACATAAATGTTCTGCACTGGTCAACTGTGACCCCAACGTACGAATGGATTGGCGTATGATGATGCCTGATAATCGCCGTCAACTCCATACAATCCGTGAGTATACTTACTGATGTGTTGCCCCATTCAAGCAGCCAAGACAAAGCCTCCTTGTATGCCTAGGCCTCTGCCGTAAGTGGTGAAAAACAAATTGGTGACTTGCCATTCCTCGCTGCCACAAACGAGCCATATGGCGCTATAATTATCATGCCGTAAGTTGCTTCGCCCGTGTCGTGCCGGAAACCCGCGTCCACATAACACCGTAGACCATCCTCCCCTGGACCGTTCAAGTGGTCCGTCGCCGGTGCGGGCTCGGTTCGGCGGGCATGGGCAGTGCCGTATGCGTGTAGTGCTACGGTGGCTGCTCTGACCAATTGGGTAGGCCGCATCATTGATCCCTTCCAGACAGCTGAATTCCGAGTTCTCCAAATATAATATAACACTGCTACCATTAACCGGGTCTGCTCCTCCGTCAAGGCCGCCATAGCCCCTTTTAGCCATGTTGTAAACGAGTCTGCAATAATATTAATAATAGGCAATTGTGTTATATTCCAAACAAGTCTAGAATATTCACAGAGCACTAAAGCATGCAACACATCTTCATGATCTAAACCACACATCGGGCAAGTTGGTTCCACCTCCACCCTTTTAAATATCAAATTAAGGGTTGTTGGTAATATGTCACATATGGCTCTCCACAAGAAGGTTTTCCATTTAGGGGGGACTTTTATTTTCCACACTGCTACCCATTTATCAAAATTCGCTGGATTATTCTCATAATCACCCACAATACGCCTATAGGCATTCTTTACTGTATATGTCCCCTTTGGGTCACTCACCCAATACCATGAGTCCTCATACCCAGGACTAACAGGGATCATATTTATTCGCTCCACATCTTCAGGAAGAAATAAATCAGACAAAATATGCGGATCCCAGGTATGAGTCTGTAAATCAATCAGTCCTGCAACTCGTGCCTCTCTCAATTGCTGTGGCATCTCTGTTTGAAAATCGTCTGGTTAATTCTTGTACTCTTTTGATGATTTGCAATTCTTTATTTATATTTGCTATGTATAATTTAGCCATGCTTGGCTAAATTCCTTAGGGATTTTTGGGTGAATTTGTTTATGAACCTATGTGCCTAGTTCGTTAATTTCTTAATATATTTATGTTTGATTTTATGATTTGTGTTGCAATCTTGTTTTAATATATTTACCGCATTCTTGTTATTTATTTTATTCTGCTTGTTATTTTCTGCAATTACCCAATCTTCAAGTTTCGTTCGGACTAGTTTCATACGAGTAACATAGTAGCTAGTGCTTAGTACCCCATCTCCCTGTGGTTCGACAACCCGAATACTCTGGGTATTATTTGTTTGCCCCAAATTACCGCAATCAAATTGGCGCCGTTGCCGGGGAAGTGGCGTTTCTAGTATTAACATTAGTGAAATCTTTATTCTAGGAGACTAGTCCACTTTTTATTATTTTATTTTATTTTATTTTGCTAACCCATAACAAGTTCTTTGTTTTGAGTGTGATTTAGTTTATGGATGGATATGAATTCCAAGGAACCATGCCACCGTTTTACCCTCCTTCTCAAGGTTATGAGATGAGTTGGAATATGAATCAAGAATATGGAGAAATGGAACAACAATTCCCTTTCTTAAATTTTGCCAACTCTAGTCAATGATATTATCAAGAAAGCTCATCTCAAACATTCATATCACAACCTCAATGGTGCTCATTTTGTGGTGGGAATCACTTTGAGGAAAATTGTTACATGTTCAACCCCACCAACCATGTTCCACGACAAGCCACTCAAGGATTTTGTGCCAACATGAGTCAAGCCACTTATCAAATATGCACACCACCTACTCCACAACCCTTATGGTGCATGATATGTGGTGGACCTCATGAGGCTGCTTCATCTTGGACCCCAATTACCAAATGTATGGGAAAGAGTTTAGACAAATGTACAATAAAATAATGGAACAAAATGCTCAAATGGATAACAAGAGAGCTCAATGTCAAGATTTGACAATTCAAGAGCCACTTCAAGAGTCATGGATCCATGAGGCGGAAAATTGCTTCATCCTGGATCCCAACTACCAATGTCAAGGGCGAGTTCAAGAGTTGCCTTACCAAGGGTTTCAACAAGAATGCCAACCACTTGACCAAACAATTGAGATGAAGTCCAAAGAGACCAAGTTAATGCAATTGTGCTCGAAATATCTGG